CCCCCGCAGCAATGACATTGCAGAAGCAGGTAGGAGGGCAGCATCCTCTTGTCAAATTAAATGCAAAAGCCTTCTCCAGGTAGGAGTCGGGTGAGTTCCAGGCTAATAACTTCAGCGAGCCTTTTAAAAAGAAACACAGCCCCGTTGGAATGGAGCCATTAGGCAATGCATTTATTTTGAAGCCAATTAACCTTTTGTCAGAGGGAGAGTGGGGGCTGTAATGGTGGCGGCGGCGGAGGTCAGCGACTAACAGGGGCACGCAGGACAGTGACTGCGCCCGCAGGCCCAGGGAGAGGAAGCTTTCTGCTTTGGTATTCTGCTCAGCGTTGGCTGGGAGCAGGCCATTGCAACCTATCCATTTAGGTAATTAAAGCTTCCATTTGGAAGTGTCCTGCAGGAAGGTGAACGGGATGGGGGGGAGGGAGGAACGAGGGGGGATGGGGATGGGGGAGATAAATGGCCAGTGCTCGCTCTGTCTGGCCAGCAGTAGTTCCATCTTCTGATGGACTGCCTGAGACTGGCGGGGCTGCCAGCCTCTCATAAAAATAGAGATGGATTGGGGAGCAGGCAATTCTCCAAGGCAAAGGCACTCTGTCATTTTCTTCCTCACAGGCTGTAATTTAATTGTTCGTCAAGGTGGACGGCTGCCACCAGGGGGGCTTTTGCGGAGGCTGGACCCACCATCTTCCATTGGAGGAGAAATGACTCCACGCTGCTTACTTACCAGCCACGTTTGCTTGGCGCTGGGGGTGTCACTTTCGCCAGCACTTACCTTCCACGCAATTTTGTTTCCTTTCGAGTCGTGCTCAAGAGCAATGGGGAAGTCGCCGCGCTCATAAAATTTCCGAAATGCCGTGGGCTTCGTGGGTCTTTCTTTGAAAGCTCCTGCGGTGGGGGGGCCTCTCACCTTCAAGTGAAGAGAAAAGGACAATCAGGTCTCCACACCCCCAAGAACATCCCCAAGGAGACGGCTGTGGTTGTTAAAAAAGATGGTGCTCTGTTTAAGGCATGCTGGGAGGTGGATGGCCAAGTAACTCCCAGTGGACCCCAGCAATGGCAATACTACCAACATTGGTGGAGTCAGAAGATTTCCTTTATAATCACTTCTGAGGGGGCAGTTTTGTTTTCCTGTCGGTTAGAAAGCCTTCCTATAAAGTATTGCTTTAAAAACATCACATTACATGGAAGCCTGAAGTTTTCTTTGAGAAAAAACATGCAAATAGAGATCTCTAAGTCCATTTGAAATAGGGTGCTGGCACTGAACATTGCCAGTACCAGGGACTGCCAAGAGGACAAACACGTCTGTCCTGGAAGAAGTACACGAGAATGCTCCTTAGAGGCGAGGGCATGGAGACTTGGTCTGACACACTGTGGACATGTTGTCAGGAGAGCCCAGTCCCTGGAGAAGGCCATCCTGCTTGGTAAAGTGGAAGGGCGGAGGAAAAAAGGCCATGGCAAGATGGAATGACACAGTGGCTGCAAGAGTGGGCTCACCCATAAGAACACTTGTGAGGGAGGTCCAGGACCAGATGGTGTTTCGTTCTGGTGCGCGCAGGGTCACTCTGAGTCGGCACCAACTTCAGGGCACCTAACGACCAGTGCAGACTGTTCAACGAGCTTTTAAAGATGCTCAAGAATGGCAAATTCTTATCACGGGTCCAATACATTTATGGAAAGCTGAGTAATGTACTTAAAGTTTTTGTTTGTTTTTTCATTTCAATCTTTTCATAGTTCATACTAGCTACAAGTTGGGCTGCTAACCAAAAGGTCAGCAGTTCAAAACCACCAGCTGCTCTGAGGGAGAAAGATGGGGCTCTCTCCTCCTCTAGAGAGTTACAGTCTCAGAAACTCACAAGGGCAGTTCTTCCCTGTTCCATAGCATCACCGTGAGTCTGCATCGGCTCGATGGCAGTGAGCATCGTACAGTGTAGCCAAAGTGAGGGACAGGTTCTCATAGCATGAATCTTAGCGACAATGCCATAACACTGACATAAAATTAAGTGAGGGTGAATGGCATAGTTAACAAGAAAACAGTGGCGGCCCACAGTATGTGAGCCTGGCATACAGTGAGCAAAACACATGCAAGAGGAATTGAATTAACTTTAGAATAGTTAGCCTGGGAATCTTCACTCCCTGGGAATGTGATTTTCATCAAAGAAGAAATATTCCATATTGAGTTATTTACATGGAACGCATCTTTTAAGCCTATGTTGTCTACATCTGAATTAATTCTTTTGGGGTACAAAACCCACAGTGCTGAGTGGAACGTTCAGGAAAGGAGAGCCCACAGATGGCTCCTTATGCATCTTTTAAACATGGTTGACTTTCCACGATTGACAACAAAAAAGTCAATACCAGGGGGGTTTCAAAAACTGGTCGGAAATGAGATCCTAGTTAATGAAATTTTCTTATGAATTTCTGAAGCACCATCGTACAATCATTTATTAGTTTCATAAAACCAGAATCATTTTGGTAATGGCTTAAATTGGGAAAGCTAGCAAATCAAGTATCTAAAATCTAAATATTTTAAATCATTGGGAAACACATTCATTTTCAATGTTTGTGTGGGGATGTCTAATTTTAACAAAGACACAGTACGTCTAGTACAGTAACCCCTGTTAAACATGACAGATGAGATCTAATTTGGCTCTCACTCAATGCCGTCCAGTCAATGCTGACCCACTGTAGGGCAGGGTAGAGCTGCTCCTGTGAGTTTCTGAGAAGGTGGTGGTTTACTGGAGTGGAAGGGCCTGTCTTGCTATCTCAGTGCTGCAGACCTTCCAATTAGCAGCCCAGAACATAACTACCACTCCACCAGCGTTCCCTAATGTGGCCACAAAGGCTGCTATTTAAAATGGAAGGAATGCTCAGGTGAGTGCCGTGAGGGTGAGGACTGACATGACACAACAGCACATGCTGGAAATTATCATTTGCTTCCATGGAGAGCACCCCGTGTCCTTGTACACGGACCTACACCTTGGAGGAGACACTGAGCTGTAGGCAAGCATGATTTTTGGTTGCTTAGCAAAATTTTGGAATTTGTTCTGGTGTTGGGATACTAAACATTGTTTTCAGTCACAGCAGCCCTGGTGGGGCAGTGGTTAAAGCATTCAGCTGCTGACTAAAAGGTCAAGATCAGCAGTTCAAACCCACCAGCTGCTCCAAGAGGAAAAAATAAAGATGGCTGTGCTGGAAAGACCACAGCTTCGGAAACCCTATGGAGCGGTAGATTTATTTTCCCATATGGTCACTGCAAGTTGGAATTGACTAGTCAGGAGAGAGTTTAGTTTTTCAGCCAAACTTGAGAAAGGCAGGATGCATTCGACAACCACCTTGCACAGAACACTGAGCTGTTTAAAAAGGGAAAGTTTTTTAGAGTCACACTTTTGTAAAATTAGATTAACATATCCGAGCCAGGGGTCAAACGCTTCCACAACCACATCACCATCACCGTTGTCTGCTCCCTGTAATAACCTCCATTCATCCCACCACCACTAATCTGTTCTGAATTTCTGGACTTTTGTTTTTTCAAGAATCATATGGCATGTCCATCACTTGTCTATATCATACTGTTGTGGCTTCTATGTTTCTGTGACGTTGGAAGTTATGTCACTGGTGTTTCAAATACTAGCAGGGTCACCAAAAGGGAACGGGTTTCATCAGAGTTTCCAGACTAGGAACAGACCGAGAAGGAACAGACTGAGGAATGAGCCCCTTCTGAGGAATTAGCTACTGAACACCTGATGGAGAGCAGGGGACACCGCCTGATGTCCTGAAAGCCATGGATAGCAGGGGGACATTGTCTGATCTAGTGAAAATGTTATGAACAGAAGCAGAACATCGTCTGAGATAGTGCCAGAAGATCAGTCCTTCTAATCAGAAGGCACTCAAATATGCCTGCAGAGTAGTTTCTTTCTCAAATTAGAGTCGACCACAACTACGTCCATGGAGTAAAGCCTATGTAAGTAAAGCCTTTGGGACCACCATCTGCTGATGGGGTGAGGTAGTTAGTTTATGGTGCCAACCTGGCCGATAAATACATGTGGGGTTAATTGAAGGGTGGAGAGATAAATGGCTTGGTGAGCCTCGCCTTTTGAGTTCTCGGGTCTCTTGCTTTCTGATGGTTAGACCAGGGTGCAGCTGCCTTAGCCAGTTCCATGCTTTAGTTGGCAAGGCTCACTTCCTGCAAGACATTCCTGAGGAGAAGCCACATGGATTAGGTGACCAGATTTTAACATTGGTAAAGCGGGACACCATTGATAAAACTCATATCCTGGTGAAATAGACACATGGCAGCCGAAAACCGTATACCCTAGCTTGTGGTGCATTCTTTCCAAAAATCGGGACTTTTAAAAAACGACTTTTTTAAAGCACTGCGGGACACAGGACAAATTGTTAATAATTGGGTCTGTCCCGCCAAAAGCAGGACGTCTGGTCACCTTACTGACATGGACCTACCCCAATGCAGCCCTGGGGGCTGGAGCACCCGTGTGGAGACCCCTGCCAGCTCTGAGATGCCTACACGCTCACTGAGTCAGCTTTCCTCCTGCAGTCACCATCATTGCATCTGTTTTGTGAGATGGAAGAGGACTTTGTGAATTGGTGTTGGACATATGGGTTAATGGGTTAATGTTGGACCTTTGGGCTTGGGCAGCACTGGGTTGGTATGTTTTCTCCATGCACACTTAACCTTTATATAAAACTCTCTCTTATACATGAGTTTCTGTGTATTTTTTCTCTAATGTACCCAGACTAATACATGGGGCATGACTCATAATGAGAAGAAACAGCTGCAAACATCGATTAATAATCAGAATTTAGAATGTTAAAAAAATGAATCTAGAAAATTTGGAAGTTGTCAAAAAGGAAATAGAATGCATAAAGATTTATCTTGTATGTATTTAGAGAGCTGAAATGAACTAGTATTGGCCATTTTGAACCAGAAAGAATCATAAGGTTTACTATACTGTGAATGACACAATCAAGAGGAAAAGTTTGTATTCATTGTAAAATGGACATTTCAAGACCTACCTTGAAATACAATCTTATCTGTATTAAGATTATAACTATCCACCTAAAATGAAATCCAATCACTGTAACTATTATTCAAATTCTTGTACTAACCACTAAAGCTAGTGATGAAGACAATGAAGAATTCTATCAACATCTTCAATCTGAAATTGATCAATCAACAATCAAGATGCATTGATAATTATTGGCAATTAGAATGCAAAAGTTGGAACCAGAGAGGGACGACCAGTAGTTTGAAAAGATGGTCTTGATGATAAAAATGAAGGTGGAGAAGACATGATAAAATTTTATAAGAACAATGATTCTTCATTGAAAGTATCTTTTTTAAACAACACAAAAGGTGACTATACACATGAAATTCTCCAGAGGGAGTACACAGAAATTAAATCAACTACATCTATCGTAAGATATGATGGAGAAACTCAATATCAGCAGCTACAACCAGGCCCAGGGCCAACAGTGGAACATCCCATCAATTGATCATATGTAAGTTCAGGTTGAAGAAAATGAAAACAAGTCCACAAAAGCTAAACTATGACCTTGAGTATAACCCATCTGAATTTTGAGAACATCACAAGGACAGATTTGACACATTGGACACCAATGACAGAAGACTGAATGAGCTGTGGGAGACATCAGAAGCACCATTCATGAAGAAGCACAAAGCCACTAAAAATACAGGAAAAGAACAAAGGACCAAAGTGGATGTCGAAGAGACTCTAAAGCTTGCTCTTAATCTTAGATTCGCTAAGGCAAATGGAAGAAATGATGACTTCAATGGGATGAAGAGAAAATTGTCAAAGGGCAGCTAGCGAAGACAAAGTCAAATATAATGAAATGTGAAAAAATCTAGTTAGAAGACCAAGAAAACCCCCC